CCTAAGATGATGTTTATTGTTTATTATTATTTATTTATGTGCAATCTTTTAAACAATAGTATACATTTTAATTGTTTAATTGTTGAAACTGTTGTTTTCGTGATGTTTTTCTGCCAAACATGAATGAATTTGTTAAAAACATGGACGGCAGCCATGTTTCTTCTAATATTTTTATTACAGTATCAGTATGCAACCATGACCTTGAATGGTACAAACCTCATTTATCATAGACTCCATATACTGGAAAAGAGTCTTGGTAGTGATAATTTACTGTGCTAAAACACAGCAAATTATCACAACCACGACTAGTAAGAAACAGGAGTACTGTCTGCCTGGCAATAATTCTGCAAGTAGTAGCAACTCTCTTGGTGCAAAGTAAAAGAACTACAAATCACTTGTCAGGGAAATGGGGGGACAAGTGAGCTGAGATCTGCAGTACCATCAACTGGCCTTCAATACCATGGAGGCAGAGTGCCTCATCAACCTGTGCTTTGTAGGATACAGCCATGGGAAGCTGGAGAAAGGAGAGTTAAACTTGAGAATAGATTTGTACTGCTGCTGCAGGACCCTGGATCTCTGTGAGATGGCCTAGATAACCTCTTATCTTCACACAGCAGTTTAAGGACTTAAAGTAGTAATGGAAGTAAAAGACTACAGGGAGAAATAGCAACTAGACCTCAGACTCTGAATGTGGTTGATTTTGCTTCTTTAACTCAAGAGCGATTCAAAAATATACTGCTTTTCTAAACTCAGTAATCGGGTTGGACACCCAGCTATGAAAAATGTACACATGGACCAAATCCATTTTGGAAACAAATAAAACAATCAGCATTTTTGTAATGGGATTTTACCAACATGTTGTTCATTCTACTTTAATATGGAGGCATTTATCAGAGAAGTTCATGCACACATGCACACTCCATGAAGTGCTTTAAAAAACAAACAACAACAAACATCTTTTTCACATTCATCTTTTTTAGTGGAGTTGAAATTTGTGTTAACGAGTCAAAAGTAAAACAGTCAGCCACCCCAGCTGCTACCTGACAAAAGTTAAATACATGATGAATGCCATAGCCAGGAGATTCTCACTCTGTATACCGACTACCAAGGTTTGGAATTCACAAAGGTTTGCAGAAACTCAGTGATACTTCATTTCTATATCATAAATATTTCTTGTTTTCACTAAAGCCTGTCAGACAGCCTCGGGCCTCTCAGAGTCGCTGCTGCCAGAATTGTAACAAGAGGTTAGAATTTAAGGTGATATTCTTAAATCGGACACTTTCAAGTTCTGTTGCTGGTTTATAAATCACTTAGAATCAAACTAGGTTAGGCTGCCTTCTGCTAGTGTGCTGCATACAGATGGAAACAACTTCCTTCCTGATGATATATCATGCACGCCAATCTAGCCACTTTCAGATTTAACCCAAAAACTCACTTGTTCTCCCTTGTCTGTGATGGATTGGTTTCTGTGTTTTATAGTTGTTGTTTTCAGGTCAGCTTCTAATGGCATAACTGCAATGTAGATTTATTCATAGCGGACTGTTATGTTCATATTTTATTTTCTTTGGATGCATTTTATTTCCTTTTGCATATTTACCTGTCATTCCGTGCTCTTATATTTATAGTTTATTGTGGCTCACTATTTTTGAATGACAGTTTTGATGCTTCTCTTTGTCCGTGTAAAGCAGTTTAACTTCCCTCTCTGTTTGAAGTGTGCCATGTAAATAAAGCCACTTTGCCTTCCTAAACAGAACTTGAAAGTGAAGTGCTGATATTGAGATTTATTGCATATCAACACAATGTTACTTAAATTCCTCATGTTCTCTCATCCACAATTCACTGATCCAGTCTAAACATTTTCCTTAGACCTGTATGTGTCTTCTGAGGGGTCTCAACGTTAGGTCACGCAGTTTATCAAGCTGCTGGAATTGGATGTTTCCGCAGGGTGGAGACTTGGGGAGGTCACAGAGACGGCTAATCTCATGGTTAAACCAGATTTTTACTGCTGCAAAACACCATAAAGTTTTAACACAACCTCACCATAAACCCAAATGACTTTATTCTGACTTTCTTCGGTATAGATTTGGCACAAACAGGGGCTTCGAGCACCATATGTAGTAAGGCTGGCAGAGTACAGCGTGACATAACCCCAGCGGGAATCATCTTGTGGAAGGACAGAGAGTGTAACTGAAGAGGCCAGTTTTTGAGCAACAAACTGACGGGAGAAAATGCACCACATTTAGTAAAAATCAAACAAAACTGATGTACTGATAATTGAAGTTAATTAGTTAAATATTCTTGTACAACATTTAACTGCCTGACTTTACATTAGAGTAGTAACGTAATTATAAGAACACGTTGTGCTGTGTTTTGTTTTTTCCCCCCAGTGGTCAAGAGAAGGCAATGATGGGTCAGCTAGTACAATATGGCCCTTTGGTTGCTATTGTGGATGCTGTAAGCTGGCAAGATTACCTGGGAGGCATCATCCAATACCACTGCTCCAGCCAATGGTCCACCCATGCTATTCTGATTGTCGGCTATGACACTACCGGTAAATACTACCACATGTCACATTTAAGTGAGACAAAGTATTTTGAATAGTTTAAAAAATATGACTTTGTAATTTATTTGAGCTAACACAATTTTCGATTTTTAGAGGTTTGTAATCCACTGTGAAAGCAGTTTAAACCTGCATTTGATCGGAGTTTTTAGCTTATTTCGAATCCTTAAAAATACAATTTTTATTTCAAGAGAAATATGAGCCAGCAGGAGGAAAAAGTTTTACATGTCAGATCTGAAGACTAAATAAAATTAAAATGTTTTCATTTCTCAAGGTCCTAAGAACCAAAGTTCCTTATTTCATCTCAACTCTTTTACAACTCCTGCTTGTCTAGTTGCAAGCCATTTACGAGATTAAAGCAGAGTTTGAGTTTTCTTTTTAAAATTGCCTTATTTACAGTGTATCATTAAGTATTTTGCTATTTCACCTTGTACCCTAATGCCCTGTTCTCTTAGCATACAGTGATCAAAGGTTAGCTGAAATTGTAATCATTAACAATTTGTGTACTCATGTTGACGTGATGTACCAGATGTTCTGTTTAGTTCGATGTTTATCTGCTTCTTTTGGGATCCAGAAAGTGGACACTTATGAATATTAGAGGCTAAACACTAGTTTGGTTACAGCTGTGTGGTAGCAGCTATCTCATACTTTATTTATGGGCATAGTTTAGACAAAAATACTTTACATTTATTAATTAACATCAATTATTTCAAACACTTCTGTTTTCTAGGTATTACGCAAGCATTGGAGTGATTATGTAACAGTCTAATGTGGGTGCAGCACACATACTAAACACAAGTAGATCTTCTTTACCTAGTAAATAATTCAGTCTTAAATGCATGTTGTCTTTCAGGGGACATTCCGTACTGGATTGTGCAGAACTCCTGGGGAACAAGATGGGGAAATGAGGGCTATGTTTATATAAAAATAGGTGGTAACGTTTGTGGTGAGTTTGACCTTTGATCTTGACATTTTATGTTTATATGATCTTTCAGCTTAAGATAGGTGCACTGAAGTGTCCAGAATCTCCTTGGGGAATAACAGTATTTCTCTATTTTCTTTTTCTTTTTGCAGGCATTGCAGATTCAGTGGCAGCTGTTTTTCTTTGTGTGTGTGTGTGTGTGTGTGTGTGTGTGTGTGTGTGTGTGTGTGTGTGTGTGTGTGTGTGTGTGTGTGTGTGTGTGTGATTACCAGTGCCAAAATTCAAATCATTCATCTGTTTGCTTTCGAGTACCACTTTAAAATAAAATAAAATACTTTTATAAAATACTTTATTAATAAAGTACCAAATAAAATACTTCATACTGTTGGCAAGTGTTGAATTTTAATAGAACAATAAAACACATCACTGCAAAAATACAATAACATGACTTGTTCCATCATATAAAACACATCTTATTAAATACATACAGATATATGTCATAGGTTATGAGTCATACATTTGGCTATAAAGATATTTCATTAATCAGTGCATAAATACATGACAAAATTAATTTAAAACTTTACAAAAACAACAACAACATTATGTACAATTTTATGGTTCATATTTATTCTGTGCAAATGGTTTTGTTTTAGACGTTGATGTCTTTGGTTCATTGGTTCATCATTTGCTGTACACCTTTATGCACTCAAGACACATCTGAGTAGTCTGAAATGGCTCCCTCCATGACACCATCACTGTGCTGAGATGAAAGATGATCCATTTTTGTAAAAACTCATCATCGCCACCAGCGTTGTCCTTGCACTCACAGTTTGATCACTGCTCTCACTGATCTGTTTGCTTTCAGGTCAATCTCAGCCAATTTACATAAATTTATTGAGGAAACATCTGAGCACCTCTTATCAATGAGCCATCTGCAGTACTTTGTGGCTCACTGTCAAGATTAAAGTAAAATAGTCTTAATTTGGCTGTTTAAATATTTGATTTATTATCTGTCAGACATTGCATCATAAGCCTGCAGCATAATTTATCTTGATTTTCTCTTGTTTGCTAAGCATTAATATGTACAAACGTAGTTACTTTGTTACGTTTACTGTTTTTGTGCATTTATGTGTGATGCCATGTAAAGACATCACGCCTTCAAATCAACCCGTCTGCGTTATTCTTCACTCCAACATCCAGTTCACCTAATGTCAAATTAAAATACCACATGACCTCGAATTTCATCTCACCTAGATTTGAAATCCTTCTTAATAATATATAGTGTTTGATAAAACTGGCCATATGTTGAATTCCCTCCATTCATGAAAACACATACACTTCATATTTCAGTGTATGAGTTCTTTAAAGGTACACTGACAAGATGCCATGCATTGTTTCTCATGAACATCAACAAAATGTATTTCTTTGACCTGATTTTCACCTCTCATTGAACTAAATAATCCGCTGCTGGGAGATCTGTTTAAGTGAAAAAGCCTGGACAGACGAGTGAGATGCACTCTAATCCGAGTCGTCACTGCTGCAGTAGGAGCTGTCGCAGCACTCAGCCGTGTACAAAAAAGTGTGAATGTTGGGATTCAGCTTGGGTACCCAGTGGCGAGGCACCAGGAATGTTGCCAGGTTGAAAAGGTCCACAAAAACTTTGTATCGGTCACTAATTAAAAAGATCAAATATAGAATGATTTATTTAGTATGTGCTGAATTTCGTCTTCTGAGAAGCAAAAAATAAACTGCGGTTCACATTTTATTTTGTGTTGTTTCTTTGAACTTTAAATATATTGTCACTGTGCATTACAGAAGGAGCTGCTACATGACAAGTTAATTAAGATAAGCAGAGTAGCACTGTGCTGTCTTTATCTAAATGAACTCTGAAGTGTTTCGGATACTTGCTGTGTGAAAATAAATGTCTAATCATAACATTATTTTACATCATACAATACCTGACAGTTGATCTAAGATAGTGGTAGCCAGACGACCCCCCTGTGCCAGCTTTGCTGCCAATCATCCGGTGAACCATGCACACATGATTGTCTACAAAAAAGTAGGGGAGAAAACATCCAGGAATAGCCATTGTTATTTTGTCCATTGGCGATAGGTTGTATTGATCAGCAGGCATAGAGGATGTTATAAGGTTCTTCTGCCTCTTGGGTTCAAATCTAACTTTAAAGTTTAGTAACTTTGTAGGCTTCTTTGTTAGTCCAGTTCTGCCCTTGGGCAAAAACAACACACTGTAGAAAACAAATATACTTTCCTTTCCCCTCAAACTTTCTTACTCTGTTTACACGTAGCAAGCAATGGTGATGCCTCAGTACTTACATCTCCATTTCGTCATGAGGGTGTCGATATCCATGAGGGATGTGAGCAGCTGGAAGGGAACCTGGAACCTTGGCTCCTCCCTTAAAGGTAAAAAAAGAAGAAGATTTTATGTTTCACAGATTATAATGTAAAAAGAAAAACTATTTTCTCTACATATCAGCTATAACATGAGCACAACTATCACCTGTTCACTACCACCAGTAAGTTACCGTATTAAATTTTGCATCTGTTATCACCTTCCACTAACTTCAGTTACCTCTGTTGACTTTTGCATAGACTCAGTAAATCTCAAGTGACAATGTGTCCTTACCGCAACCATTTGAAAGAAAAAAAAAGCTGGTTACCACACCTTTTAATAAAGCTTACATTTTCAGGCAGGTTTCACAAAGGGGCTTGTGATATGGAAAATTTATGTGGGAAGAACAAATGAGTACCCTTGCCTCAGGGACTAGCACTGAGGCGTTTTTGTGCAAGACTTTCCACTGAAGCTGTTTGCAGCCTCCAGGTGTTAACAACTTAAAACTATGAATAGGAAGCAAATATAACATACAGTGTCACCACTAGACCATTAAAGGTGAGGAAACCTTCTAAAACAAACTAAACATACCTGTAGAAGTATATCATCAGAGCACCTTGCAGAGCCTTGTAAGAGAGTCTCCTCTCACCTTGTTAACGAAAGGGAAAATTTTTATTTTCAAGGTAACAAGAAATGTTGGTGTTTACATCCTTTTGTAAGCTAGAGTTTCAATTTTAAAGTCCACACCTTGCACAAGATAAGCTTCACTTTGTGTTAAATAGAGGCTGTAAATAAACATGATAAAGCCTCGGTGATTATGGCATCTGATTAAACACTTACCCTTGCTGACAAGGTGATCGTGGCGCTTTTCGTCAAACAGAGATGTGAAAAGCTCCCTCTGTTTGACCATCTCTGCTATCAGTTCCTCTTTCTCTTCAGAATCAGGCATTTTCTTTAAAAGAAAATATGGGAGGAAAAAAACAGCCGTGTCAGTCATCGGTGTACTCCAGGGACAGCAAAAAAAGAAAAAGAAAAAAAGTTTGTTCTGAAAGCTGGAGCCATCTCTTACCTCAATTTTCTCCTTCTCCTGATTTAACCCATCAAGTATATTGATTTCCAGCCTTTGCCAGAAATTGAAGCCATCCACCTCCAATCCAGGAGTTCTCTCCAGCCACTCCTGAAAGAACAGCCCAGGGTTTTTTCTCACGTGTGCTCTAGCACAGGGGTGAGCAATTAATTTCGCCAAAGGGTCACATGAGAAATTGGGACTGTCGTAGAAGGCTACACCATGGAGCTTATAGAGAGACAAAATTAATACTGAGCAGAAATGGGTTCAGTTTATTGGTTTGGCCCTTTACAAAAGTCCCAGTTTGTCATGTGGCACCTTGGCAAAATTAATTGCCCACCAGTCCTCCAACAGGACAAAGAACAACAAATTCATGTGTTTTCATTACTTACTAACTAAATCAAAAATGGTAGCCCTTCCACATGTATGTGGCTGTAAAACATACCTCAACTAACTTTAAAAGTGTTGGTTCCTGCTCAGTGGAGAGCAGCATCTCACTGTCATGACCTTTAAAGTTGTCCCTGTAATGGCGTCTGTTGTATGGAACCCTCAGGTTGTCTGGAACTCCAATTTTGTTCTCCAAGAGCCGAAACTGGAGGCTTTGGAAGCCAGAGGCCGGAGACAGGTATTCCCTGTATACACAAATAAGCATGCATGTACACAGTTAAGCCAGAGTGCAACGTTGTGGAGGAGTGCATGTTATATTGCTTTTTGGAGAGGAGTTTACCTAAAGTCAAAAAAGTCCAAGGCTGTCATTGTTTCCAAAACCGCAAACTGGTCAACCAACAGTCTGAAGATCATCACAACCCTGTGGATGCGAGTGTTGACTTTGAGCATGTTACGTTCGTCTCGGACCTTCAGAGGAAGAGCAAATGTTAGGGGAATTATTGCTGATCATATTTAAGCTTGCAGGTCAGGAAACAGTCTAATTAAATAACTAGTTCTTTTTGTATTTCCAACAATATTTTTTACAAGTATAACATATAATGTATATTTCTACCTAAGCAAGATGTTAAATTACAACTGCTGTTCTGCTATTAGTCTGTAAATACCTGATCACAAACTTCAGTATGACTAGTGAATGTAATTTTTTAAACAGAGGCACTGAGTGATTGTGACGGCGTTCTCCACTGATGGTTTTCTTTAAAATGCATTTTAAATCCTTCATCTTATTGACTTCATTTTTCTTATCAGCACTCAATCTTTAACATTTGCAGTGTGCATCTAAAAATAGTAGCAGCAGTGCAAGATACATTTCATTTTTCTCTGTTAGGGTTAGGGTTAGGGAATTTACAATCGCTTAACCTTCTGTTACCACAGAAATATAACTTACATGACCGCTGATGAAGATCTCTCGCACAGAGTCCAGTTCAAACAAAATCTGTTTGAACCAAAGTTCATAGGCTAAAATAATAATAAAAAAAAGATCTTTAAGCGTCATTAATATATATAAGTATTTTATTTTGAGGTAAGGACAAAGGTCAGTAAGCAGTCAAGGCTTTTACATTTTTCTATTCACTGGTGGAGAAAGAGAGAAATGAAGGAAAAAAAGGTTGAACTATTTCTATTAGTGTGCAGCGGCTTCTCACACTAAGTGGATGCAACCAAAAACCTCCATATCCTTCACTATAGGGGTGAAAGAGTCTCCCTTTAATTTAAAATTGATTTTCATTTTTCACCTGTCTCTAACTGTCTGTAAACAAGGTGAATGATTTACAATCAAATCAACATTTAAGTAAAGTTTATGACTGGATTCAATTTTGCTTTCTTGAGAAAATGAGAAAAAAATAATTTCAAACAAAATGAAGCTCAACTTACCTTGATGGGTGACAATGAAGAGGTGCTCATCATGGATCTTATTGGCTTTTAGTTCACTTTGCAGAACCTGAGCTGTGAGTATTTTGTCGAGCTGAGGGTTGGAAAGAGAGAAATCAACTGATATAAAAACTTTGATTGAACAACAAATGCAAATTTCAGTACAAATATAGATTTGTACCTGCAGGTAGTCTCCATAGATAATTCCTCCTCTACTGGCCTTGTTGACCCCTGCCTGGGAATCATCCTCATCTTCTTCAGTATTGGGAGGTTTATTTTTGAATAACCTGCAGTACAAAGAGAACACCTCTGGTTACTTGTTTTCCCATCAACAGGATTAGAAATGTAGCTAACATGTTTCTATTTCATGTATGTGGAAAAAAGGGGATAAAAATCCAAGAGTGTAAGTGTGATTAAAAATATGAACGCACAAATGCTTCTTCTCAAAGTACGGACATCCACTCATGACTTATTCAAATCGGTGGCAGCAAAGATGTATCCTTGTTCATCGACTAATATTTACTAAAAGAGTTTTCAACACAATCCGAGTTTTTAAAGACTTATCTTGTCCAATCAGTCACAAGTATACAGTTACCATCCGGCCCGCCTCTATTTTTCCCTTGGAGCTGCTGTTTATCTTTACTCAGGACTGACGTCTGGACTTTGTTTGACCTGCTAAAAGAAGGGTCACGCAGACCAAAAATAATAAAATAAGGGCATATTATTTTTCTGCATTTACGAAGCTATCAGGAATACCAAATGACCTCCACATTATAAGGTTTTGAATTTGCAATGCATTGCTTGAGGGTTTTGATTTAGACGTGGCTGTCTTAGTCACTGGGCTTCAGTGTTTACACTCAGGGAAACTCTGTTTATACTCTATGAAAAAACTGAACTTATAAAGATAAGATAGACAACACCTGTCCTTGCTGCGAAGACAAATATGGGCTTCATCTGTTTTTGCCTCTGAAATGTTACGGGGACTCTGTAGATGCAGCCCAAAGAAGGAAGAGAAATACTGCTTTTAGTATTTGGTGGTTTTAGCTGTAACAGGTTTAACTACTGATTAAAAATATAGGAGTGATTTTGCTTTAATTTAAAAATGGAAATCTCATTTCAACCAGGTCCCTAAAACAATTTCTCTATCTTAGAAATATTAAAGTTACAGTCCCCCCCCCCCCCCAGCTTTTAGCGCTGGTTCATACAGTTCATTTTTATTGGATTATTTGAACCCAGCAAAAAAAAAGAAAAACAGGTAGTTCAGAAGTTGCTTTACCCAACTGCTTAAAACACTCTCACAATCTCATTGCTGCATCACAGAGAATGTAAAGTGTATATATATATAGTCTCCGTTGTATTTTTTTTTTTGCATCATAAGATTGTTTTTTCTTGTTGTGAAATAATTTGTTTACTATGGTGTTATAGCAAGTGTTTTTATATTAGATTTTTCAGGACCTGTATTAGTGTGGAAGTCACGAGAAATCCCTGATGACCGTTTGTATGTCATTGAACTCAGCTGTAAATATTTGCAATTTGGTTAATATTCTATTTATGTTGGTGGAGATTGGAAATGCGTGGTTTTAAGGTTACTGAGTGCACATGATGTTTCCTTATAGTACTCCTTTAAGTACTTTTCTAAGTATTTCTTCTTATAAATGAGGTTCAGCAATATACATACCTTGAAGAGACGGAGTGTTTTTGTCCACTGCTTGTTGGAAGCTGAAAATGTCATTCATGTCACACTGTAATAGCTGCCATGCACATGGGAAATATTTGTTGTTCTCACAATCCACATGGTCTGTGTAAAAATAGTTCTGTTGCTCCCCACTACCCGAGCCACATCACAACACACACACAGTGCTTTTGAACAACAGCGAACTCCGTTTCATCCGCGTGAAACTAAGAATCCACAGTCCACTCTCTCTAAATCGTCCCTGAGATCATTAGCTCTCTCTGTTTTTTTTTTTCCAACACTCTTTGCAGACTTACCAAGTAGTCCCATCAGCGTGCGCAACAGTTCTCAGAAGATCAGAGGAATGATAACAAGCAGCTATTTCTGAATTGGGACATGGTACAAGCCTAGCATTATAAGGCTTCACGCTGAGCAAGAAGAGCAGCAAGAACCCCAAAAATCCTTTGTTCTTGTTCTCATTTAGTTGGGATGAATGGGATGCTGGTGGAGAAACGGCTACAGTGGATGAGATGTTTGTGAAGACACGAGACCTATTACGGTACATTTGCAAGTCTCACAAATACGACATGTATTATGACATGCCTTACTGAGTCAGACTGAGACTGAGTTACTAATTAAAAAAGGCAGGGATAAATCATTTTCTTGTTCTCACTGCCATGTGAAATGAAAGTTAACCATCTCTATCCACCCCCTCTCTTCTCCCCGTCCTTTAACAGGTATAAAGTCCTGGAATAAATCAATGTCATCTTTGTCTTCAGCTCGACCTTCATATATAAATCACTGGACTCTTTATCCTCACAGTTAAACACAATCAGTGCATTTATAATTTAAATGTAGCAACAAATGTATTACAAAATGTAGCAAACAGATTAAGTAATAACTGTTCTTTTTGCTGTAGGCATCCTCTAAGTGGGAACTCCAGCAACACTTGAGGGAAGATGAACAACTTTAATAATAGACCAACGCGTTTCGGCTTGTGGCCTTCATCAGGGACCCTGATGAAGGCCACAAGACGAAACGCGAATTCTTTTATCCTCTCCATGCACCTTGGAAGCAGGTGAAGTTGTGCCAGAAAATTCTTTTTGCTGCGGCATCCTCTAAGTGGCAAACATCATAAAGAAAATATTTATACACTCTAATATTTTACCTTCTGTTTCTGTTGTTAGTTCAAACATTTTCCTTTAGAAAAATTGCACCTGTTTGATCCTTTTTTAAGTCGCTACTATTTAAGTTTAGTCAAATTTCCTGCATTTGGAAATCCTGCCAAAAATACTGTTACACATCAATCTTATTTTATCTCTACAGGTCCTGTTGATTTTTCATCAAACGGAAGCTCGACGAGTTGTCAGCTCAAAGTGAGTAAAAACAATAATGAGACTGCATTGGCTTGTGTGCTTGTTTGTTGGCAGAAGGGAAAAAACTGATCTTTTATGAGTCACGGACTACATGTTTAAATTTAACTTCCCCCTGGACATTTAAGAATTAAAATGTGCGTTGTCTCCGTCTGTTGATTATTAATGTGCTCATAATTATCTAATATAATATTTAACATCGCATCGACGTTCGCCGCTTTGTTACTGTAAATTCACCTTCGCTTTAAATTACTGCAGCTGTCTTTAGTCTCAGCTTTTTGTCAGATGATTTTATATGAATCTGAGGAGAGGAGATTTTTGTCAAAGCTTGCTTCAATTCCCTACATCTCTAGACTTGAATCAGAATTTATACTTGTAGATATTTCTTCAGTACTGTAACAGCTATTTTGATATAAAGTCCCCGAGCCACTTGAAAGTCAAAATCAACCACCTAAATAAATCAAGCCCGTTGACGTCAAACTGAAGTGTCATATGATCTTTGGTTTCATCTTCAGGTATCCAAGAGGGGGACATGCAGAGTGTGAAATCATTTCATGTTTGATGGTGTGATCTCATGCCGCTACCTCCATCTGAAAAAAAGAATTATGAAACATGCTTGATTTTTTTCCTCTGTTGCTCTGATGTGGTTATTGCACAATGCTTTTGGTTCTTTGATGTTCTTGCAAAGTTCTGCCATCTCTTTTATGTAAGCCTTTGAAGTAGAGCTAGTTGCACTGCATAGTGATATGCTGCACTGTTGCTCTGGCAGTGTGGTCACAGTGTGATACTGCAGCAGTACTGGCGTTCATTTTAATATTACTAGTTTAACTATTCCATTTGATGTCTCTTTAAATTAACCTGGAGTCTTTTCCCTCCCAACATCTGGCTTAGTAATCACTAGAATTTCACCAAATTATTTGAAGTTGGATCTCAAAGAAACAATATTTCTGACCCTTATGAAGGAACAGTAATAATTGCTGTTATAACAAGTGTGCTGCGATAAAGCAGGTCAGCCGGATGACTTTCTGAACTATGTGCTTTGTACCACTAGGGAGCATCAGAGGGCTTTTAAGAGAATGAAAGATTTGAATACTTCATATTTGGCATAGTCAAGTTTGCATTAGAATTCCGCTATTTTTTTTTTCAGCAGGGGTTTGAAATGCTTTGTATGGATATATCAAAACAAATGGGGATTCGTATAAGTTCACTATAATTTCAACGTGAAGAACAACAGACGATGGCTCACAGAGGAACTTTAATAAAACATTTCATTAAAAGTTGGCAGTGAATGGGTGTGATATACCCAAAGGGATTCTGATGAAAACTTTGAAGGCATGTATTTCAGATTTTGTGCTGAGAAACATTAAAAGAGATGTACCTTTGTTGGGCTGTGTGTCATAAAATATTTTAAATGGAGAAACAAAACCCCCAACAACATATAAAGAAACTGGGGGAAGCAGAGAAGCTGAGAGGAGGACAAAAACAACAGTGTAAAACAACTTTTGAGCAAAGAATATTCGGCTCCCATTTGGTTTGAAATGCTGTTTGAAGTTTACCACGAAAAAGAAATCACTTTCATATGAAAGGGTTATTTTCAGACTTATACATTCCAACATCCAAACTCTTCTGCGCTTTGATGAAAAACACCGGAAAAGGTGATCACAGCCTAAATGTAATTTTGAGAAAATAAGCTTTTTATGTTCACACGCAAATTTATCCTTTGTGATAATGACGCTGCCTGACTAGACTTTTAGTCGACTGTCTATACTTCAGCTTAATTAAACTTAAAATTTCTTCATCAATTTACATACTTCAGAATGCCTTCGAGCAGCTGACTTCAAAGTAATGCTTCATTTGTCTTCTAGGGCTTTGTAGCTCAGAAGATTTATTTTAAATCATTAATCTAATTTGAGAATTTGATGGGGTTTTGGCACTGCTTTTATTTTATTTTGGAATACTAGTGCTTTATATATGTTGCTATTTGGGAATGCTTCTGAAGATCAATCAAAATCAGCATCCGATTAGTAGTAGTCTGATTATGTGTTGCAGTTTTATTTTCACCTATATCTGCACAGCGATTCTTGTAGATTTAAATGTTTTTTGACATTTTTACCAATTAGAACTAAAACACTGTCGGACCAAAAAAGTCAATAACAAACTCGCCTTGATAAAGCTTGGCCCTAACACTGCTAATGAACACCCTTAATATCAAAAAAGTCTCACTTCAGAAATCTAAAAAACAACACACCCGAAAGAACCCCAATATCATTTTAATTAGTGCATTTAACATTCAAAAAAATGATACCTACCGAGAACATGGATGTGATCTATATTTGTATCCACTGTTGTTGTTTATGTGAGATGGGTTCATGAAATATTTGTGTTGATGAATTATTCATTGGACAGGAAAGCCAAGTCAAA